GAGGCGGGGATTACTAAACCCATCCCCGTCCCCATTTAACATAAACGATTTTTCCCCATCCCCGTCCCCGTTTAGCATAAATGGTTTTTCCTCGTCCCCGTTTAATTCAGTTTTCGGTTTTCCCCGTCGGATTCAGGGTTTTTTTACCATCCCTATCTGTTATAAATACCCCAAAAACAAAAAAAAAACATTTTTAACCCACTCACCCAAAAAAATAAAACCCTCTCCCAAAACATTCTCAACCCAAATCCCACCTGCCAATGGTCTGCCAACCTCCGACGACCACCCGCCGCTCGGACTGCCACTCCGGCTACACCTCCAATGGCCAGAAAAATTCTAACCCCACCAAAACGTTCCTCACAACCTCCCTTACTCAAATCTAAAGCTCGATTGCTTAAAAAAAATACCAAATCGGCGTAGTTCTACAAAAAGGCGTTCGAGTTTTTACCTTTTCGGCGATACTTTTCCGTTTCTCAACGTTGTTCCTAGCTCCGCCATAGCTTGTCCTTGACGATTTTCTTGGTTATTTTTCTCCTTGATTTTTGCTTGGTTGGTTTTTTTGCTTGCTCGTATTTTACTTGGTTGGTTTTTTTATGGTTTTCGATTGCTATGTTGGCTTTTGGTTACCTCGGTGATGCCTCGTATTTTTTCGGTGCCCTTTGGTGTCAATTTTTCGAGTTTATATAACCCTTGGAGATGGTTGGATTTACCGAAAAATATGGGGTTGTTCTTTATGCTTTCTAATTTACCTGCTTGTTATGCCTTGCCAAGAACCACAAGAATGTTTGTTCTCGATTTTGTTTTTATTCAGCTTCAGTTCAACACGTACTGCTTGTTTCGCTGGTTGTTACTTGTTGGTCAGAAATCTCTGGATGGTTCAGTCTCGATTTCCTTAGCTGATTTGTGACCTTTGTTGGCTCATGGCTTCCGTACACCGTTATCAGTCGCTTGATGACCCTTGATGCTTTTTGGCCGTTGGATCAAGTGGTCAGATCCAACGACTGACGTGTTGCGGCGTTGATGCCTTCATGAGCAAAACCCTAATCTGAATTGGGTTGGGTCAAGCCCCTTCCTTCTAATCGGGTTTGCTTTGCTGGGTCAGACTACCCAGTTGGGCTCTGTTTTTGGACCGACAGGATTTGGATCTGGACTTCAATTTAGATCTAAATATAATATAATAAATATAATATATATATATATATAATATGAAAATATAATATATGAACTTTATAATATAATATAATATATATATAATATATACTATATACTATATAATAATAATAATAATATATACTATATATATAATAATAATGTATCATATAAAAAATAAAAAAATCAAACGAAAATAAATATCTACACTTATCAATTTATAATTTAATCCTAATTCCCTCTCTAACCGAAACAAAATCAATATGATATTCAAATAATTAAATTCTTAGGTAGCGTTTGGTTCGCTCGAATGTTTATGAGGGAATTGGAATCTGTGAATGAATTGGAATCTGTAGGAATTAGAATCCAATTTCATATTCTGTTTAGTTCGCAGACTTGTCAGATGAATTTGATTTTAGTAATGTAAAATGACAGAATTGCCCTTATTATTTTTTTTGCTTTATTTTAGTTTATTTTACAACTTACATATAGTAATATATTATAAAAAATTAAAAAATATTAAATTTTTATTTTATTGATTGATTATTCATTTCAATAAATTATAAAAATCATGCTAATAAACATTATAAGTTAAAATCATCGCAATCAAAATATGTTAATAAGTTACCAAAAGATAGAACAATATTTCGATACATTCCAATCGGAGTATGTTAATTAGTTACCAAAAACTATTTTTATTCAATATATAAATTAGAAACTCGACTCGACACGACTCAAAATAATAAAAAATTATTTTTATTCAATAAAAACATTAACTTAATTGAAAAAAATATATATATAGAGGGGAATTATTGTAATTATTCCTAAATATATAAGGTAAAATTATATATTTTTTTCGGGTCGGTCCGGTTTTTTTCACCCTAAACCCGAACCCGACCCGAATATCACACTTAAAAAAATCCCAACCGACTCGAACTGAATATCACACTTAAAAAACTCGACCTGACCCGAACAAAATAAAGTTTCATCCGACCCGACCCGAATATATGAATTAGAAATCCGACCCGACCCAACCCGAAATAATAAAAAATATTTTTATTTAATAAAAACAGTGACTTAATCCGACCCGACCCGAATTATATATATTTTCGGGTCGATCAGGTGTTTTTACCCTAAACCCGAACACGACCCGAATATCACACTTAAAAAAACTCGACCCCAATATTACACTTAAAAAACTCGACCCGACCCGAACAAAATAAAGTTTCATCTGACCCGAATATATTAATTAGAAATCCGACCCGACCCGAAATAATAAAAAATTATTTTTATTTAATAAAAATAGTGACTTAATCCGACCCGACCCGAATTATATATATTTTCGGGTCGGTCCTGTTTTTTTCACCCTAAACCCGAACCCGACCCGACCCGAATATCACACGTAAAAAAACCCGACCCGACTCGACCCGAATATCACACTTAAAAATCCCGACCCGACCCGAACAAAATAAAGTTTCATCCGACCCGACCCGAATATATGAATTAGAAATCCAATCCGACCCGATCCGAATATATGAATTAGAAATCCAACCCGACCGACCCGAAATAATAAAAAATTATTTTATTTAATAAAAAGAGTGACTTAATCCGACCCAACCTGAATTATATATATTTTCGGGTCGATCGGTTTTTTTCACCCTAAACCGAACCCGACCCGAATATCACACTTAAAAAAACCCGATCCGACCCGACCAAAATAAAGTTTCACCTTACCCGACCCGACCCGAACCGAATATATGAATTAGAAATCTGACCTGACCCGAAATAATAAAAAAATATTTTTATTCAATATATGAATAAGTTACCAAAGGATTGATGAGGGTAGTATGGTCAAATTTCAATTCCCTTTAACAAGGGAATTGAATTCTATCCATTTTTGGATGGAATTCACTTTCCCTCATTTGATGGAATTGAATTTCAATTCCTTTGAAAAACTTGAACCAAACATGAGAAAGTGGTTGAATTAAATTCTAATTCTCACCAATTCAAATGTATTCTATCCAATCAAACGTAACCTCCTTAGTTTCTCTCGGTAATAGTCGATCTATATAAAACTCGGAACTGAGTTGACGACCGAGCTCCAACAATTGGGGGAACAAGCACGTGCTAGCGGTCCACAGTTCTACATATGGTGCTGCGCTGGCGATTCCATCGGGCTGCCCGTACCCCGGGCAATGGGAAAAGGAATACGTGGATTGTGCTGCCCGGATCTTTTCGGGCAATCAAAGAAAGTGAAACAAAGCCAGCGGGGTGATGAGTCAGGTGGGCCCCGTTCCTTCGATGTTTCTTGTCGTGTTCCACTCGGTGGGGCCCGTGTCTACTCAGCTCCGAGTTTTTTGTTCTTCTTTTGCTGTGGGCCCCACGAATCCCAGTCGGAGAAAATAATGTTAAATTTAAATAAAATTAAATAATAGAAATATAAATAATTAAAACGAGCCAAAAAACAATGGGTGTCCTTTTTCCTCTGGTATTGCCCACAAGTTTCTCCAATTGTAAGTTGTTTTTTTTCTTCTGAAAATAATTAAATAAAATTTCAAAAAATAAAAAGAATATATTAATAGATAAAATATATATTTAATCACGTGTCTATCACTTCAATTCCATTTCGTTTATTTTTTAAAATAATATGTAATATTATGTTTTGATTCTATTTTAGTTATTTATTGTTAAAAATAGATAAAACTTTTGACATGAGTTTTTTTTCCAGTAATAATATGATATTCATTTATAGTGATACATCTATATCAATATTATAGTAAATATTAAATGTGTTTTTTTTTAAATAATAATCCAATGACTAAAACAAAATTAAAGTAATGGTTAATTGACTAAATAAGTAGTTTACCCTAAAATATATAAATATATTAAAAAATACCCTTTAGTATTATTGACTAATATAATACTTAAACAATAATGATACATGTCACATAGGTTTAATTAGCCAATTAAATATAACAAAATTTGTAGATTCCAGCACGACACCACGGCAGAGGTGAGCTGATTGAACCACACATATTAATTAAGAATGCTAATTAATTTAACGAAGAATCTCATAAACCCTAAAATAATCTTCATCTGGAAACGTAAGCACATTTAATTAAGCTGATTAATCAATTAACAATTCTGCTAACCAAATTACACGCATGTACAATAAAAACCCAACATTATTGGTCCATACTAAAATATAAAAAAGATTCTTGTTAAAAACACAAGTTTAATTAAAAAAATAATTACGAAATAGCTTCGGCAGAATATAGAAGACACGCCAACAAATAGTTGATTTAGTGAGATGAGATACAAGACTCCTTAAGTAAGGTCAGTGATTCGAATCTTAAAATTTATAATGCTAAAATTAACTCTCAACGTTTATTAAAATGATTATTCTAGTTCATATTTTTTAGCATTTTGACTCAATGTATCATTTAGGACAAAAAAATGCCCTTAATATTGATTGAATAATCACTTTAACCATTATTCTTTTTCCTAGAGCATATTGGTCCTTAACGTATCATTTTAGGATAGAAAGACTCATATTTTAGAGCGTTAAAAATTTGTTAATTAACGATTTTCATTATAGAGGGACATTTTTTGGTCTAAAATGAAACATTCAAGAATGTTTAGGGCTAATTTTATTATTGTGCCATTTTAAAAGTGTAATATAAGTTAGTACTATATAGTACAAGGACTTGCACAATACCATTATCAACCGAGCTTTTAAGTTTTACAATAGACGGTGCACCACTTGATTGCACCAAGTCAAAGTTATCCCTTTAAAAATGCTTTAAATCTCTAAACTCTCAAGTTGTACTCCAATTGATTTATAAATACCTTCAAAGCTTTAACCCACCCTCTCCTTCCTCACTCTTCCCTTTGCCCTTCGATTCCTTCTCCGTTTATTACTACGGCAGCCATGTCGGATTATTATTACTCCGGTTGCCCAGATAACTACGAAGCTCACTACCTCGATTCCTGCTCTGTGTGCGGCAAATCGCTTCGCAATTCCGATATTTTCATGTACAGGTCAGTTGTTTCTTCATCACCACATCGATCTTAAACTTATCATCTCTTTGTTTGTTTTTTTTTTTTCTGATGGGTAATTGTTGATTGCAGAGGAAACACGCCGTTTTGCAGCAAAGAGTGTAGACAGGAACAGATGGAGGTGGATGAAGCGAGGGAGAAGAAGTTGAAATCCGGTAGATCTCTGAGGAAATCGGATCCTAAGACCTCCACGCCCAACAAAACTGTACGGACGGGGATTGTTACGGTGTCGTGACGGTTACTTATTCTGCTTTGATTCTGCGGTGTAGAGTGATTTGTTGCAGTCAATTTTGGGGTGAGAACGACGAAACAAAGGAGAAAAACAAGATCTTCGATGGGATTCGGTGTTATCGTTTTCTTTTGTTCTTTTCTTTTTGTTAATTAATCTTCCTCTTCTTCTTCCTGGGATTGTGCAGTTACTCATCAATGAAAGTGTTAAAAGATTCATAATTTTCTGGGCATTTCTCATCATTTGCAGTTTCAATATAAAAGTAAATGTCTAAATTATTTCTAAAAAACGGTTTTAGGACCTACAATATTTAAAAAAAAAGGTAAATTAATTTCAAAAATTAATTTCAAAAATTAATTTATCCATCAAACTTTTAATTAAATCATTTAATTATTTAAATGGTTTAATTAAATCATCGGCCGTTAATTTTTAATATAGATAATGACGTGTCTATTAATAAAATTAGTATAATTCTATATTTTGGTTCTTAATATTTATATATTCTATTAATTTAAATATTATTTTAATTTAATTAAATAAATTTAACATCTAATTATATGATAACATGTGTTATTGATTGGAGGATATTTTTTTAATTTTAATTTATTTAATCTAATTTATTTATTTTTTAATATGATGATTACACGTGTCACTACTTTTATTAAAGGAAAACAACTTTTATTAAAGGAAAACAATTGGAGAAAATAAAATGCTACTATGTGGCTTCGAACAAAGGAGAAAATAAAATGCCACTCCGCGGCCTTCGAACCAATGGCCAAGAAAATTAACGAGCACCTAAACCACTCAGCCACCTCCAATTCTTGCTGAAAAGTTATAATATGTTTTATATATCATGTTACAGTTAATGAAAGAAACATATGAAATTAAAATGCTAATATTGTTCTGTATATGATAACTTTTTAGTTAGAAGACTTTTAGTTATTAATTTAGTTAGATAATCTTTGAAAAAATTATGTTAGATTACAACTTTTTAATATTATGTTTTTAATATAAATTTTGTATTTATTTTTGTTATTAATTTTGAATTTTTTTATTTATGATAGTTAGATTATAACATTTTTTATTGAAAAATCGCCTCAGTGACCAAAAAAAAGTTATAATATACGATTTTAACCAACTTTTTTTGGATTTGCCAAAATGACCAACAAAATCGCAACGCGAAATAAAAATCGCAACGCGATCCCCAGAATCGCAAATCAGTTTCCAGAATCGCAACGCGATTCTTGAAAATCGCGATGCGATAGTACAAATTCGCATTGCGATTTTCCATAATCGCAACGCGAATATGAAAATCGCAACGCGAACACATAAATCGCAACGCGTATCCGTAAATCGCAACGTGTATCCGTAAATCGCAACGCGTATGGGTAAATCGTAATGCGTATCCGTATATCGCAACGCGTATCCGTAAATCGCAACGCGTATCCGTAAACCGCAACGTGTATCCGTAAATCGCAACGCGTATCCGTAAATCGCAATGCGTATCCGTAAATCGCAACGCGTATCCGTAAATCGCAACGATAATCCGTAAATCGCAACGCGTATCCGTAAATCGCAACGATAATCCGTAAATCGCAACGAGAATCTGTAAATCGCAACGATAATCCGTAAATCGCAACGAGAATCTGTAAATCACAACACTGAAATTTTGGGTATATAACACTGAAATCATAAACTAAATCCCTAAATCGCAACTCATTCCATCTCCATCTATCACTCTCTCCGGCGACATCCGTTCCTATATCCAACGACATCCTTCCCCATCCGGCAACAGGTCTTAGTTTCGCATCTCGTTTGTTTAGTTACAACCATGAAATCATCTAATGTTGATCATGTTTGGATAGATTTGTGTTTTGGAGGGTCATGGGATAATGTTAATGGTGTTTTACAATATATGCCTTTACCCATAAATCTTCAACTAAAATTGTCTTTACAAAAGTTAACTTATGAAACTCTAATGCTACGTGTTTCAAATAAATTGAATTTAGAGCCCCTAAGTGGATTTAGGCTATCTTATCAGAGAAATGGTAAAGTTTATTTGTTAACCGACAATGAAGATGTTGAACGATTCATTGCTTACATTAGTGTTTCACAATGAAGATGTAAACGTTGTTATTCAGTTGTATTATGTAAACGTTTTAACATTTAACATTTTATGTGTATTATGTAAACGTTGCCATCAAAAGCTCATATGCAAACGTTGTATTATGTGGATTTTATGTGTGAACTTTTAACATTTTCAGTTGAATTAATGACTCAGGCCAACCATTTTGACTTAACCAACTCTTGTTATTCAGTTGTTATCACTATTAGGCATGCATTGACTATCGCAACACGGAAAATACAATCGCAACGCGAAATGAAAATCCCAACATGAAAATCGCAATGCGGAAATGAAAATCGCAACGAGAGAATCGCAATGCGAAATGAAAATCGCAATGCGAAATGAAAATCGCAACGAGAGAATCGCAATGCGAAATGAAAATCGCAATGCGAAATGAAAATCGAACCGACATAATCGCAATGCGAAATTAAAATCGCAATACGAAATGAAAATCGCAATGCGAAATGAAAATCGCAATGCGAAATGAAAATCGCAACGAAAGAATCGCAATGCGAAATGAAAATCGCAATGCGAAATGAAAATCGCAACGAGATAATCGCAATGCGAAATTATAAACGCATTGCGATTTCATTTCCGCATTGCGATTTCATTTCGCATTGCGATTCTCTCGTTGCGATTTTCATTTCGCATTGCGATTTTCATTTCGCATTGCGATAGTCATTTTTGCCTTCAACATAATGCAGATTGAAATCAACAAAATCAGCCATTACATTTCAATCAATTAAACAAGCACAAATAAGAATTATGTTCGCATCAATTACACAAATCAACTTTTACAAATCATCTTTTACAAATCAATTAAACAATCAAAAAATAAGCAATAATTCTTATTTCGATCATCTACTATTGAATCAACTTTTACAAATCAATTAAACAATCAAAAAAACAATCAATTAAACTATTGAATCAACTTTTGCAGCTCGACATCATTTTCACGCAGTTCACTTCTGAGATTAACCTGCAGAAACCAAACTTTGTTCAAACAACACTTTCTACGCAAATTATTGAATTCTAGTTACTTAACCAAACATTTTCATTTATAAGTATATAAACTTACCAATTGTTTATGGACATTTTATAAACGCGGATGCAGGTAGGCAGCGTCTCGTATATATCGATTTAGCCATATAATGCCGAAACCACAAGCTACTGCAGCTTTATCTCTATCGGTGGGAGGTAGATACTTGATGCTTCCCGTCGTCAAACGCTCCAACGCCAAGCATACGAGAGGACCACAATCTCCTCTGGCTCCGCTCGTTTGTTGTGGCGCGGTCTCGTCTCTAATAACTGTAATATTGAGCTTCTTTGGCTTCTTGTTTCCAGAACGAGTCCAATAATTGATCGCATCCAAGAATTTAGCCAAATGAGAGCTTCATCCCTTAATAACATCTCTTAAATCAGCCAATGATATGTAATTTATCATGCTGTCATACACTATTGTCTTAAGGGATGGGAGCTGAAGCTCGACGAGAATCCAATGTTTACGTTCCAAAACAGGGATAAACACCTGCAATCATAAGTAATAATTCATTCATTTGCGCACTTATTCATAAAACCTTTAAACTCAATCTAAAATAAATACTAACCTTATCGACCTCCCACCATGCAGGATAAAGTTTAGCTTGTCCATTGCCCAAATCAAATGATTCATCTCGTGCATTCTTCAAGTGAACGGCGTGAAAAGACGTCGGCATTATTGTATATCGTATATTTTTATTTTTCTTAAGTTTTCTTATTATTAGAAGACGTGTCACCCACGCATCGATATGCTGTTTTACAAAAAAGACATATATTAGTGACTTACATAAATTTAAAAAAAAAATTAATCAAATTGAAATATAAGAAAAATATAAGACTTACCCCCCATCGAAATAGCCATTGTCTTCGACCCCTAATAATACGCCCCACCAAGGCCGTTCAAGCAACAAAAAGATATCATCGGTGAGCTTGCATATGTCAGTGAAACCCCTTGCTCCGCTCATGTAGATAAAAATCAACTGCGGTCTTAGCCCAAGGGTGTTATCCAAAATTGTGTCCGGTAGTTGTTCCCTCTCCTCTTCAGATACCGGTATGGTACTGGCCGGTAACTCATACGAGAGCCAACTCTCATCCATCATGTCCGGAACCGGTGGGGGTTTCTCAATACTTCGATATATTACCCCATGTGAATCAGACTCTGGAATGGTGGGAGGGACCTCTTCAACGATGACAGTTGCCTCTTGAACGGTGGGAGGGGACTCTCGAGGAATGATATGGGGGGCCTCTTCACGATAGGAGTGGACTCTTGAGGGATGACAGGCGAGTCGGGCTTCTTCTTGCGGTGTCTTCGCACTATTGGGGTGTACGGAGACTTAATAGCACGTGCACGCTGTCTGATGCGTGAACTCCGTCGTGCAAGCATAACCCGACGTAAAGCATCCACTCTATCGGGCCGCTAAATAATTAAATACAAAAATCAGTAAATAAACAGACATGATCTTTAAACAGTGAAAACAAAGACAAATATGTTTCAAACTTGCATTGTATTCACCCAAGTCATTATTCTATCATAGTTCACAAAATGCATCAGATAACAAAGAAAAATATGTTTCAAACTAATACCCTGAAGTTAGTATTTGTCTTTGTTTTGTCTATTGGTTGAAGTAATGCAATCCATTCAAGTTTCAATTTGCAGAAGAAGAAATAGTTTACTTTCGCAACACGAAACTTAAAATCGCAACGCGAAACCAAAATCGCAACGCGAAATGAAAATCGCAACGACAGAATCGCAATGCGAAATGAAAATCGCAACGAAAGAATCGCAACGCGAAATGAAAATCGCAATGCGATTTTGGTTTCGCGTTGCGATCTTGTCGTTGCGATTTTGGTTTCGCGTTGCGATTCTGTCGTTGCGATTTTCATTTCGCGTTGCGATTTTGGTTTCGCGTTGCGATTTTAAGTTTCGTGTTGCGAAAGTAAACTATTTCTTCTTCTGCAAATTGAAACTTGAATGGATAAATTTACTTTCAACCAAAAGACAAAACAAAGACAAATACTATTTCACAGTGTTAAAGAATACACAGTTTAGCAGAATTG